CTCGCTGTAGCTACGACAAAAGTTGGGCGCACGACAACGCACTGGCCAAATGTGTAAATTTCCAATGCGCTGGCCGTGCGTTCCCCATGCGTCCCCTCCGTGTGACCGGGCCTTAAGTTTAACCAACAGTGGTTAAAAACTGTAACCAACAACCCACTAAAGTTTAACCAACATCGTGTGAATCAAAAAAGAATTAACCTACAATGGTTACAATTTTAACCAACGACCCATGTAAGTTTAACTAACATCATGTGAATCAGCCCCGAACAAAGCATAATTAACCAACAAAAGATGAAAGTTTTAATCAACAAATGGTTAAAATTTGATCAACACCATTTTTAACCAGCATTGAGCAAATTTTTTAAACCAATAATTGATTAAAATTTTTAATCAACCACAGGTTAAATTTTAATCAACAGGCTGTTGGTTAAAGTTTAACCAACGATTGTGTGATTCACCTGGTAATCCATGGTTGATTAAAATTTTAACCAACTTGATTAAAAATTGTAATACTTGTTTTAACAGTGTCGCTAGCACAGCAGAGACACCATGGCGCACACCGAGCAAAACATGGCCATGTTGTAGACTCGGGTGATGGAAAACCATCCGTGTTCATGAACAAATCAAATGATGTAAACCTTCAAATACTGTGAACATCTTAAGATTCATCAATGAATGAAAGACCTAAACATTATTGCTGAAACCCCCACCACCACCACAGCAATAACAACCACTTCTACTGCTGCTGCTGCTGCTACGACTGCTACTTCAAACTAGTACTACTACTACTACTACTACTACTACTACTACTACGACCACTGCTAGTGTTACCCGTACTACCACTACTACTATGACCACTACTACTACTACTTCTACTACTACTACTACTACTTCTACTTCTACTACTATTACTACTACCACTACTTCTAATGATACTGCTCTTACTACTACTACTTCTGGTGTTGCTGCGTCTACTAGTACAAATAATGAAAGGAACAGCCGCTTTACTTGTAACAACAATCCCAATTGATAATAACAATATAGTAATAAGAACAGACATAATGACCTATTGCTGTTATAGCGATAGTTTGTACAGGATTACCAGAAATCATTCAGATTGCATTTTGGTGCAATGTCTGGTTCAGAAGTATTATTGATTTTATTTGTTCATGGTTACCCAAATATATCCTGATGAACTATACTGAAGTTTGCTTTCACTCTAAAGTAACAGGCGTAAGAAAAATTTAAATGTATTTGTCTATTAATCAGTTATCTTCCAGTATGAATGAAATGTTTCAACCCCCTTCTCGTATTTATTCCCTCCGCAACTTTGTTCTCCCTAAACCTAGAACTGAATATTGTCGCAAAACTACCCAATATAGAAGCTCAAGTCAATAATACTCTTCTTCCTAATACTAAATTACTTCAAACTGTTCAGACATTCAAAAAGTATTTAAACAATATTATTCCAGACTTCCTGTGGCTGTTTAGGTATATATATATATATATATTTTTTTTAAATAATTTGTTTAATAAATTTACTTGTCTAGCTTTCTCTTTTGTATATATCGTAAATATTTCTCTTCTGTTTCTTGTTTTACTCCAATTTGCTCCTATCATTATTGTAAGTACTTATTTTGCTGAAAGTTTTTCCGTACTATCCATTTTCATGTTTTCTATGTCTATAGGGACCCCTCTGTAAACCAGCATTGTTATGCTAACAACGCTGAGTAGGGTCATCCATCCGTCTTCCTTTTTTTGTAATAAGTGTGTCTTTATGATTGTAAATATATATTTGTTGATGTTTTTTAAATGACGGAAAATAAATACAATACAATACAACAATTACCGTCATTTGCAAACTTCCTTAAATCCTCTTCGAGTTGCAACAGCTTATCCTGCATACGGTTCTTCGCCTTCCCACCAGCCGTGAGGGGTATACCTTTGAATTTCACTGCTGCTGTGATGACCAATGGGAAGGCGGTGATAAAGTATTCGACGAGGGAAGAGACATTCGCTATTCGATCGATGAATATAATTAGAAAGGCCAAACCGACGAGCAACACAGTCCCTACGAATATATAAGCAAAGGTCTTGAAAATGTGATTCCAAAAAGGGAGCCATTTTCTGATGACTTTTCGGAGGAGTTCAGATGTAATCTTGAATTGCATTGATCCATCATCGGTTGATTCGAAGATTTTTTTTTTTTTTTCGCGGCCTCCCCGCGACCCTCCCCGCGACCCTCCCCGCGACCCTCCCCGCGACCCTCCCCGCGGGCCTCCCCGTCCACTTTTGCTCCAACAGAATAAATCATGTTAAACAAGTGTTGATAGCTGTCAAAGAACATAATTACGTTTGCAATACAGACTAACACACCAACTATCCAATTGATCCAAATAGGGCTTCCATATTTGATATTAATAGCTAAACCAATCACAGCCAGAATTAAGATTTCAACAAGAAGCATAACCGCAGCAGAGAACCGGAAGAAACAAAGTAAAAACGCTCCACTGCAATAAGCAATCTTCAACTTCTTTGAATAAAAATTGTTGGGTGTCTCTGAATCTATTTCTTGATTCATAAGGCGATACTTGTAAATAAAAGCCAAGGCAATACAGGCTCCAATTATGTAAAGGATATTTGCCAGTCCGAAATCAAGACCCCATACGAATACACTTTTGTAAACATTTCCACGTTTGTCACTCCGATACGCGTATTCATCTCGGGTGACATACCACAGAAAAGCACCTAGATAAAAGACGAAAGGGATACTGTAAAGAAAGATCCAGTATCCCATGTACAGATATGTGTTACGATGTTTATCATCACTAGAGCATTTCGAGCATTCCGGAACAAACATCAAATATGCCGGTGGAATCAAGTTGATTTGTAAGATGTTGACGCTGTCTCCTAAAACTCCGTCCCGGAAGTTATAAGCTTTCGAGAAGATATGGTACAGCCCACCGATGAGGACTAAGAGCAGCAATACGTATGTACTGCCGAATGCTGCTCTTAAGAAAGTACAATCAATCCGAAACGAAGGGTTTATATTACAATTTCCTTGGACACACGTCATATTGACATTCCAACATTCATGGTATGTGCTTGCTTGTAATTCAAATATACTATAGCCAGGGATTTTTGTGGCTGCAAAACATGAATCCGAAAACCATTCTTTGCAGATGATGTCGTCTTCGACATTATCTGAGAAGCCACCGGAATTGATGACCCTCAATCTCACTTGCTGCACCAGTTTCGACAAGGAGTATGCTAAGCAAATATCAGAGACCGATTCATTTTGTAATTGACCACCATTCAAAGAAATCGAGACTGAATGCAATCCGTAGCTCAAGGTTGTCAGGGACAAAGAGTGGTTGTCGTATGGAAAATACATCATGGTTCTACCTCTAGCCCCAAGTCCCCAGTGCCAAGTTACACGGTCATTCTGTTCGGGTGTTTTTCCGTTGTTGATGTTGAGCCGGACAAGACTGACGTAGTCGTCTGTTACATCACTGAGCTTATCAACTATGACCTCGACTGTTTCATTCATTGGAAACAGTTGCTGAGTGCAGTTTAAGGTGGAAAACATGGCGTTTTCCGCCGAAGAACGACGTTGTCGGGCTGGTTCAGCAAGGTCGTGAGACACGCGTCGGTATCGGCACCCTAGCAGCAACACGCATACAAAAAGAATGAAACAGATGCCTGCCACTAGCTTCCGTCCGACATTTACAAATCTCTCCGAATCCATATTGAATGTGGTTAACCTGGAATGTAACAATGAAAAAAAAGAACTTCTATATTGAGATCAGTAATGAAATTTGTTCCTTACGCAATATAATTTCATCTGACTATAAAGTTCCCGTTCATAAACGGTATTTTCCAAATCAAAGGAGGAGATAACCCACCGATTTGATGCATTTAAAGATACGAGTAATTTCTTTTGTATGAAGTTGAAAACCTAGCATCGCCACAGCTACCCAAAATTTAAATAGATCTCTCTCGTAAGATCTGTTGAGAAATAATATATGTAATTAAAAAAAATCGGCTACTTTATGATACAAAATACCTGTAACTTTTTGTAGCTTTTGAAACTAAACAACGACTCTGAAATTCAATTACAGCATTGCAATGACAAGGTTGTGAAAAATAGCTTTACCTTATTCTAAATGCAAGTCAGAAATATGAAGAGGAGTAATAACATCAATGATTTAAAAAATCAAGACAAAATAGTCCTCCAAACAAACTCCTATAAAGCAAACCCATTAAGCTAGAGGCATTTTTTTCTTCTATGAATAACAATAAAAATATCTACGTTTCTCTACCAAATAAGAAATTTTTCCTTTGGACATTTAAAACAAACTTGGGTCTTGATTCCCTTGTCAGTGCGTATTTGTCCTAGAACAGACCTCGATATATCTCATTGATTTCAATGCATCTTGAAACTGTGTGATATTCCCCTGTTGATTTTCAAATTTCAAATGTGAAAAACGCTAAACGACTTTGGTTTATTTGTTACAAGTTATGTCATCAATTTGTTTGGTTTCAAGTCAAGTTAAATTACAATTGTCAAAATGTCTACAATATGGATACACCACCGGTTCTCTATATCATATTCAAAAGCTACATGATGCAAACTACAACACTTACCACAAAGAGTCCTGATGGAATGAAGCAAACCGAGAGCACGATTATTGGCGCATGAATGTTCGTCGACAATCACTAAAAGGTTTGATGGGTGACAAAGTGTTCCGAGATTTATATTCAAAATATGATATTTCTTGCAACAATAACCCCCCTCATTCGAAAATGTGCGTACCTGGGGAGAGTCGCGTGTGAATAACTTATAACAAAAGGCGTCAACCTTCTCGTTTTTAGAAAATCGCTTCAGATGGGTATATTCTTGAATAGACAGGGTTTCGCGTTTCCCTATCTCCGTGAATATTTGGCAAGAATGTGCACGTCGACTATGAGAGATAACCGAATTTAATGCCAAACTAAGTTAATACGTAGAGAGTAAAATGTTTACGTAACATCACCGAAGAAATAAAACGACAAGGGTAAATCAAATTCGAGTGTTCCATAGTTTGTCTTTTTATTTAGCCTATACGAAAGCAATGCCACTAAACAAACTACATGCGCTTCTTTCAATAAAGAGTAAGTTCTGGAAAAATGTAGAAAATATTTGGTGAGCTTTCTCATTCTAAGTATGTCAGTTTCATTTTATTCTTTTAATATTGTGTTTATTTATTCCATACACATCAACGTAAAGTATTTGCATTTACAATCTTATAATTTTAATGACATGGTGTATATATATAAAGGGTTCGTCTTAAGCTTAAGCTTGAAGTGGTGTTTGGAAGAAATGTTGCCTGCAGAAGATTGCTCTTAAAATGACCAGATCATTCGAAATATGATTAGACATAACTGAAAATTTTGGACCAAATATCTTTCTGCAGTCCAAGTCTCCAATTTCCTTGTGCAGTGCATATGTTCTTTTGCAAGACTGAGTCCGTTTCTTTTCATTGTAATCATTCAAAAACCTCAGATTAAACATCAATCCTCAATTCCTAATGCACTACATAATCAACCTTTCACACAATGATTACCAGTACTCGACTTAGTCCATGTATACAAAAATAAGTTATTGTAGACATGGTAAAGAGGATTGGGCATGTGGAGCCGGATTACCCCATTGAGAGCTAGGGGTACTATACATGCTGCCCCTTACTACCTGGGTCCTATACACCATAGGATCACAAGGAGGTAAGTACCGTGATTATCGCTTACATTCTCGTTAAAAAACTTGCACGTGATGTCTTGTTAGGATAGCAAAGAAAAATAAAGATATTTTTAGGACCTTCTCAATTGTTTTACTTATATTAGAAGGTCAAATTTTCTTTAAGTTTCCCTATTTTACAACTATTGCTTTGCGTCTATTTCATGGAGCTGTATTTCCTTGTCGTCAATTAGAGCCCCATTCTTATGAACGCAAGGATTACCCTGAATCGGGTCTGATTGATTGTTGTGAGAATCGCTTTGAATGTTACGCGGCGAAAATGAAGTGATGAGAAGATCCCTAAATGGCGCCAACTTGGCCTTCCAGAGGGCGCTTACTCGTTTGTTACAACACAACACGATTGGTAGGATCAAGGTCGAGAGTTGGTTCAGAAGATGTGCGAAGATGGCTAGACTAGGGATGGGTTTAAACAGGAAAGCCACGTAGATGATCCATGATGGAACCCAGAAGACACCAAAGATTGCTGCTATCTTTATGTGTTCATAAAAAATAAAAGGTGTAAAACAGAAATAAATGTCAATGGCAGTGGTTTGTAATGGTATGAATGATAGCGCCAGCTATCGACGCTTCGTATGGTATAATAATGATAACAGTTATGGTAATTATCAGAACATCGATACCGGAATATAATGTAGTAAAGAACGCAAGTCGTGCATGCCTGAGCATGTAAATAAGTCGTAACCTTCTTCTGATGTAAAGAAAGAACTAATTTTCAACTCGTTATTACGCCTCCTTTGTTTAAAGGGACACCCAGTACTTGATTTCAAAGTACTCTAGAGGAAAACAGAAAATTAGAGAAGTAGACTGGTGACAAATGGATTGAAATCGAACAGAAAGTGAGAAAATTATGATTTTTCAAAAGAATGGGCTCTTAGAATTGGCTGAACTGGTAATTTATGAGTGATGTAGTAGCGGACAAAGTTCCATTTGGTCCAACGCACAAAGTGAGTAAATTGTCAACTTTTCAAATCGTACGACTCAGGAGAGTAATTATTTTCATTAGGAACTATAATATATGCTATCAATAATATCAGAGTAGTAATCGAACGGAGAAAGCACTTAGGAGAAAAACAACCAAAAAAATGATAATATATTTTCGCCTTTTTTTTTTCTTCATATAAATGAAATTTATTACAAGGGTTGGATTCCCTTAAAAAAAAAAATCATTATGGTGCCAGGTGTCATTCCAATATTTCCTTTACAGAATTCTACAACACTTGGTGTATTGTTTTTCATTCATCGTTGATTAATAATAATTATGAAAATCAGCTATTTTTTTTAAAAGAGCACCACTCCGGAGTATTCCCTTAACACCGGAATATGACATCTAAAAGTGTACTTTTTAGGCCATCTATGATACTACAGAATTATGGGGACTCTTCTGACACTATCTATGATATCCGAAAAACATTGGACTGTTTTTTGTCACGAAATCAAAACTTAGGAGCCTCCCTGATAATGTCAAAAATGAGATTCCTTGAAATGATCCTCATTTGAAATGTTTAACATGGAAGTCTTGTTTTGAATTCAGTATGGAGTCAATTTGAAATCCTGAAAAGGTCATTAGTTTTACTTTTTAGATTTCTGAGAGTGAAACTAAATTTTACAAGAAGAGGTAAATGGCCTACAATGTGTTGAACAGTTTTAAGACTAATTGTCAGAACTCATTGAGATCAGTGGCGTATTGCAGTGGGGAAAGCATGGCCTCTATCACACAATTAAAACAAACAATGGTGTAGAGAGAGAGAGAGAGAGAGAGGCTGATTTGTTTTCACTAAGGGATTATTAATTTGTAGTGGTACATTTCATCTTTAAAAATACCCAAGCGACTGCTAAGATTATACCATACCTTTATTGTTATCTGACGGCCATTCCTCCAATCTGACTTTCCTCTCGAGTCCAGTGATGCTAACTCTTGTCGTGTGGCTCTCAATCTGTAAAGCACCAAAACAAACAAGAAACAGTCCACAAGGAAGGGTACTGCAGTTTGTATCGCTAAAAGATAATTAGGCCAGCCATCAACAATCCAGCAGTATTCGTCGATGTCATAGATTTTGATGCCTCCAATGTGCAAAAAGACGGCTAGGAGAGAAAAAAGCAATGGTACGCACCATCCAAAGAGAGAGAGGAGAAGGAAGAAACGGCTTTCAGAATCTTCATCGACGCGATGAATACCTTTCCTGCCAAGTGTCCATGCCAGGAAAATAGCAACAGCCGTCCACCAGTAGTTTGGTACAAGTACAAAGTAGTAGATGAGAGGAGCTAAGAAAACACAGAGTTGAGGATTATCAGTTCCAAGTGGGATGTACCCTGATGTGTAACAGAGAGACAGCAACCCTGCAACTACAAGGCTCAGGACATTCTTACCATGGGTGTTACGGAGCTCTTTGAACATGACGAACGTGAGCAGGCAGCAGAGAAGTGCAGCTGAAGATAATCCGTTGAGGACTCGAAGACACATCTTCAACCACTCTGGAATCTTGTCCCACGTCTGATCGCCATCCAAGAGGATAATTGGTGGTCCAATACGTACCGTTGGGCAGTATAAGATGAACGACAAGGTACGGACTAGATCTTCAAAATCATCATTAGCGATAAACACAAAGGGAGGTGGAAACCCAGTGACTATTGTTCTTTTTATACTACAGTTACCACCTTCCTCCTGCTCCCATTCCAGTGCCAACCAATCGCTAGAAGAGGGGCACGAGTTATCCATCCTATTATTAGCATCTGCATAAATACAGTAAAAACTGTATAGAGGTCAAATCTAAACAATCGATTTAAAACATGATTCGACTCACACTCCAGCATCTTATATTGACAGTCCTCTGCAAAGTATTCAACATATGCAATGTTATTGTTGTTATCTGTGCACTGTTTATCAAAATCTTTTTGAAAATTTTGCATGGATACAGAAATAATGGAATAGCTTAGATTTGAAGTCTGATCCCCGTAGTAAAATGTATTATTTCTTAGGCAAACGGGAACTGTTTCAAACTCGTCAAAATATCCTGTAAAGGAGATCGTTACTTGGCCATCATAGCCATAGTCAGCCATCCCTTTCTGCCAAAGCCTTACGTCTTCAACATCTCCAGATAGGACGCTTTCTAAAGAAGTGCCAAGATTTCGAACAAAGTTATCTGTGACAGAATGATTGAATTCTTCAGTCATTCCTTCTGCTATCCCTGTGAAAATATGAACAGACGATGCAAACCAAGCTGCATGTAAAGTCGCCAGGTAAAGAAGGACAAAGTAGCCAGGAATCTTACCCATGTTGCATTTGTTGCTGCTAACTCGTGTCGAAGTTTTTCTCAGTCTTGGGCTAGGTGTCGAAAGTAGTGAATTCTTTTTTGCAACCTGTTCATATCCTTACAAGAGAGATTTTTCTGTCCTTACCTTCCATACATGAAATGGTTAATGCAAGCAGAGAATTTAGTGTAAGCTAGATACAATTTATTGTATAGGAAATCAAATCAAAATCAATCCGACATTTTTACTGGTAGTCATTGAAGTATCACATTCATTCTCCTTGGTATCAAGTTTAAACATTAAAAGGTCTCAGGTTCATCACAAGTACGGATGTTGATGAAGGTTGGACAGATTAATCAAGGAAGCAGACTGTTTGCTACTCATCAAATTATTTAGTGAAGAATAGTAGAACCAATCCCTGTGAAATGAATATGCATGTAGAAGAGAGATTTAGAAATGCGGCACAAAAATCGGTCTGCCAGGGTCCATATCAATGAAATCTTACTAAGCCTGTTAGTCAACTATGTACTATATCCTATGTTCACCGTTGGTCATAATGGTCTAATAATGTTTTTTACCCCAATTTATGGAATGATTGTGACAATGATTTTTCCTAATAGATCAAGATAATACATTCTCAGATTTTATTGAACAATAATTTGTGAGTGTTTGTTTTGCGTGACTGCTAAAGCATGTGTGTGCTACTATGCTGATCAACTAGGGGACCTACGTCCTTAAGCCATAATTGACAGTATTGAGGATTAATGCCTCATAAAAGGGCACTAATATAGCACATCGACACGGTTTTGATCCTGGGGGCTCACAGTAACGAGGCTGTTGCTTAGCCAATGAATCATGACTGTACGCATGGGGGGTTAGGGTACGTCGCCGCCCCCACAAAACAGAAAAACAAAGAAAATGCAATAAATTATCAATAACTCATTGCATTTTGCCCCTACCCCCAACATCAAACAATTCCTCTGTAGGGCCATGCATTATGGTTTAAGGCATGCCCACATAGAGGATTTTTTTTACGCAAAACAAACACTTACAAGTTACAGTACTATTCAATAAAATCTGAAAATGTATACTATTATCTAGATCTATTAGGGTTAAATCATTGTCAAAATCATTCCATACATTGGGGTAAAAATAATTATTCCACCATTATGACCAACAGTGTAATTATTTGAAAGCTATAGCTTAATAAGGTTAAATGAATATCGGATCAGACCGGCAACAAAACGAATAGATTATGTTACCCTTAATGGGGTCGGTTTCGGTGGTTTGACTGAGGTATAATAACCAACATCGGAAAATGTCTGGGAGTGAAATATATAATTACAATCATCGCAATCGATATCACATGACAAGCTGTGGACCAATCAAAAAGGTTGTTTCTTTAACAGCTTTCTATTACCCTAAATTGCCTTTTAATAAGTCGGTCGTTTTGAATCGGTTTACAGTCAGTTTGGCATTGTGTCTGAGGCACAATATATTTTCTATCTCGTCAATTACAGTAGGCAATGTAAGTGTATGACGTTGAATTGAAAGAGGTCGGCATTAACTAATGCCCTATGCATCAATGTACATTGAAGTTGACCATGCAGGAATGCAAGCTAATTATCATACTTTTATTTATTCGCATATTGAAACCCTAATTGAGATTATTTGTATGAAACTGACCGACCAGTGTTTAATTTTAGTAATGATAATGATGATAGTAATGGTAATATACTAAATATTGCAATGAAACGATTATAATAATAATCATAATAATGACATTATTTTCATACATTGCCATTCCAAAAAGTAACCCACCATATAACTTCACAGTGTAGCTTGCATGTATGTGTGTGGGTGCGCGCGCTAGTGTGGGTGTATTTTGTGTGAGAAACATGTCCCTAAGAACGCGTAGACAGGAGGCCCAACATGTAATCCATTAGAGGCCAGCTGACAAAAGAAGAGCAATGCAATGTTTAATTCAATATTTCTAAAAAGCTTTATTTGAAGGTGGTTTGTAGGAATAAATAAAATGCACACAATTTTTAATTTGTCAAAAATAATAGTACATAAAACACGAATGCAACTCATTTCTAGAAATCAACTCAAGTAAATTTCAATAGCTTTGTGCGTCACCTATTGACATTTGCAAACATGACACCGAGGTTTTAATGCTCATCAGTACTAGTTTACAGGAGGGATTAGACCGCCCTGCAAGATCACTGGACAGGTGGTTATCTCATCAACTCAGCTCTCAGTTAACATAAGTAAAAGAGGATCATGGGGGACCAATGGTCACCGATTAGGCATTGTTTAATATAGAGAGGGCGCAAGTAGCTACAAGTAGTGCAGTGGGCGACAATTGTTCTGGGGTGTTCAACAGGGTAGGCCCTATTGACATTTTCCTTTTATAATTGATTTTTCTGAGATAGTTGTGATCGTGTTATATTAAGGAATCTTGCCATTTTCAAAGAAATAATATTCAAGCAGATATTGTTGTTTTGATTAAAACCCAGCCATAAGTAAATTGCGTGTTAATATTCAATAATAATATGTCTAACTACCTTTATGAGTTATAAAAACAATGATAATATGTCTTGTCTACCAAGGAAATCCTCATCAATATTATTACCGTTCTTCCTGAGGGCCCTGCAATCATATTAATAGGGACTTTTAGATTGGCACAAAGACAATGGGGATTACTACGATCGACGTCCTTTTAATGCACTACCTTGAATAGACGTCACACGTATCAGTCCACGCAAATCTAAAGGTCCCTATACCCCGGCTTTAGCCGAGCTACCATGAAAAGGCGCTCGACTTTCTTCATGCCGGGTACCATTAACCTCACCTGTGTCGAGTGTGGCAAATGTAGATTTGTCTTGCCAAAAGACATTAGGGCCCGGCCGGCAGGAATCGAATGGCGAACCATGTGATCCACAGTCCGGTGACGTCTACTAGACCTCGACCCCTTTCTACTGAACGAATAATCTATTACTTCATCTTCACATATATTTACTTTATCATTCTCATGTATGGCCAATCTTCTCAGATTAAATGATTAACATTCAAGATCAAACTTGGCTACAAAAATGTTACAACTTGAAAGGAACTGAACTTTTCATGTTGTACGGTTGACGACTGTAGAACTTATTGGTCCATGATTTACTAATTCAATTAGATAGCGGCCATTGAGAGAGTTAAAAAGAAAAATGTATTTCTTGAAATACACGTCAAACATATGTGTAAAAGCATTAGCAACTAATATATCTACACCAAAAACAATGCCCTTTCCCTCTAAACAGCTTACTATACGCAGGCAACAACGTCATATATTTATGAGGAAATTTTCGTATATTTTCGAACTTTCTTTTATGTGTTGTGCTAGGGAAACGATGGAATACGCACTAGGCAAATTTCTCTCACAAGAAGCTCAATGATAAAATTCTCTTATAAATGCAACATTAAAACGATACAATGTTTGCCTGAAACTTTATGAATTATCATGTAAAAGTGGGTCCATATAGTATAAATTAGTTAGTTTCACTAATTATCTATATCACGAAGCTGTACACCATTGCCGTCTACTGGAGGCTCGTCGTTGTGAATAAAGGCTTTATTATTCACTGAATATGTTTGAGTGTTATGGGAATCAGCGAGACTCGTACTATGTGTTAAACTGCTGAGACGATCCCTCAATGGCGCCAACCTGGCCTTCCAGAGAGCAGCCACTCGTTTGTTAAAATATAACACGATTGGTAGGATGAAGGTCGAGAGTTGGTTCAGAAGCTGAGCGATGATGGCAAGACTAGAGATGGGTTTGAACAGGAAAGCCACGTAGAAGATCCAAGATGGAAGCCAGAGAACACCAAAGATTGCCGCCATCTTGTAAATTAAGGGAGGAAAATGGGATGATATAAATAAATCGCTACTGGTAGCTTGGAGGGTTATATCTCCCTATAAATGGCAATGGATGGTCAGCACTATATTTGATTCAACTGATTTTGTATTTCTAATTTGAATAACCGTAAACCAGTTTAGTTTAAACTTTGCAATTAGATTAGAATATTATTGTAAGAATGAACTTATAATGTAAATTTAAAAAGTTTTAATCATCCCCAACCTTCCCTCCTTCCAAACCTTTGGAATACAATAATAATTATTTAATTATTTAAAACAATTCGCATCCTTTCTACACAAACATTTACTTTGTAAAAATATACAAAATACAATACAAGTAAACAATCTTTAGGCAATTGTAATTGACTTATGTGTAAGAATTCGAAGAAGAAAGGAGGAAGATTTAGAACCCTTGAAAACTTAGATTCTGATTATCAATTGTAGGAGAGTTATAGTTAAGCGGCCAGCACCGTGTGGGAACCAGCATAGATGATTAGATGATTGTACCGAAATGCATTTTTTCAATTGATCTCTTAAAACTGAAGAGCAATGACTTTCCATTAGCTTG